TACATTTATTTTTTGATTGCCCCACACTAAATTTTGCAGGTAGAACAATTTAGTTACTTCTCATTATTATTATTATTATTATTATTAATAAATACTACTATTATCTCTTTTTGTTTTTTAATTCATTAATCCTTATTTGTGTTTAAATTATATATTATATATATTATTATTATTATTATTATCACTTGTTAAAATTATTTTGCGGCTACTTTTGCAGCCAAAAATTTATGCAACACAAATGCGCTTACACTAAGAAGCTAGTTTGGAACAATATTGATTAATATTTTATAGAGTTAAAAGCATTTTAAGCCAAGTCCCTCTTTTAGGGATTGGATATGGTTTTTGAAGCATCAAAAAAACTAAAAATGCATTTTTATAAAATAGAATAAGAAATTAATAAAATTGATAAAAATTAAATGATAAAAAATAAAAATTAGAAAATTTTAAAAAAATTTGGAGGTGTGAACAAGGCCTTGTTCACACCTCTAAAGGTGTTAACAGAGTGACAAAAATTTCATGCTCCACCAACTTGAGTTTAGGACTTGATGATACAGTATTGCAGTACATAATGCACTATATTTCAGTATAGTCTAGTTCTGTTACATCAATTAGTTACTGTTACCATAGTAGTACATGTAGATAAAGATTAACACAGTGGTTTAATATTCGTTAACTGTGAAATGAAATAATTGTACAAAATATAAAATTAATAGTTTTGAAAATTTAAATTGACTTTCACAACTAAGTATCAAACAGTCAATCCTTTTCTTCTCTTATGTCGTTCCTCCATTGCTCAATATTCTCAGATTTAATCCCACTCCCGCCACAGACAATGACTATGATATTGCTTAAGCTTTTTGGAAGCTTTCCTTCATCTTGGAGGTGAGGGATAAGACTTTTATCAGTTACTGCAGCAAGAGCAGCTCCACAGGCCGGAGGGACAAGAACTTCATGATAATCTAAAAAAAGAGGAGAGATAGAAATGAAGAGGAAACTCGGGTATATTTTTTATTTTAAAGTTTAAAAATTAACAGCAGAAAGTCTGAGGTATCCTTCATGTAGAAGTTATTTTATATAGTAAGGAACGCAATCGGTATATAATTGATACACTAGGTGCTGTTTGTTAGATACCGTATAGCTAGAAAATTTGGTGGAGTAAAACTTTAACAAATTTGGCGAATTGAAGTCCATTCACCAAATTTTTAGTCTCCAATTTGATAAGGCTCCATAGAAGCATACAGAGTTTAAATTTCACCAAAATTTTAACCTCCAAACCTCTTTTGAAGTCAATTCACCAAATTTTAACACTCCAAATTTTCTAGCTATACGGTAGCTTGTCATTAAGAGGCTTTACTGTATATAGCTGCATATACTATATAGTGAGAAATTTTTGTGGACCCATCTAAAAATCAATTTCGTGGCTTTAATTTTTGTGGTTTTCTACTATTCGACCATCTTGAACCGTATTAAATTAATTTTCGCAGATTTTATTTTTGTGAATTTAAAAAAAAACACGAAATCCACGAAAATTTGGGCCATAAAATTTTCCGCTATACGGTATTCATGTACCTGACATAAAGACACAAGCTTTCAGTGCTTCCTTGTCTGGAACTACACACGAGATGACGTTTTTATTTTGGAGCCACTCGTAGGATCTTTTACTGACCTTTAAAGCACCTAAACATTTAGCTATACTATAATAGAAAAAATAATATAAAATGGTGCGTAAGTAAAGTTTACATTGTTACACAATAAATGATATTCAAACTTTTTTATGCATTTTCTGGTGCAAATTTGTAGAAAATTTGCATCAAAAGTTGATCAAAGTCCCTGATATTTTTTTAAATGGTTTTGATAGAAGTCTAAAAAATTATTTAACAATTTTGAACTGATTCCAATCAAAATTAGATTTTTTACAAATTTTAAGTTACTCCAAAATTGGGCCCAAAGTCCCTGTACTGTACAGAGATTTTGGTCAAATTTCGTCAAAAATGAAAAGGAGAAAATTTTGAATTTTCATAATTTTTTTCTGATACATATACAGGTACTTATGTTGTGTAGAAAGTTTGAACTGATTACAATCAAGTTTAGATTTTTTATGAATTTTCAAAGTTACTCCAAAATTGGGCACAAAGTCCCTGTACTACAGTACAGGGATTTTGGTCAAATTTCGTCAAAAATGAAAAGGAGAAAATTTTCCAATATTTTTCTAATTTTTTCTAGATTTTTTCCGGATGCTTGGAAATTTTTTTTAAATTTTTCCGATTATTTTTCTAATTTTTTCCAGACGCTTGGAAATTTTTTCCAAATTTTTCCGGTTATTTTTCTAATTTTTAAATATTTTTTCCAGACGTTTGCAAATTTTTTCCAAATTTTTCTGATTATTTTTCTAATTTTTTAATATTTTTTTCCAGATGCTTGGAAATTTTTTCCAAATTTTTCTGATTATTTTTCTATTTTTTTTATTTTTTCTGGACATTTGGGGAATTTTTCCAATATTTTTCTAATTTCTTCTAAATTTTTCCGGATTCTTGCAAATTTTTTCCAAATTTTTCCAATTATTTTTCTAATTTTTTAAATTATTTTCCGGACGTTTGCAAATTTTTTCCAAATTTTTCCGATTATTCCAATTTTAAAAATTATTTTCCAAACGTTTGCAAATTTTTTCCAAATTTTCCGATTATTTTTCTAATTTTTAAAATTATTTTCCGGACGTTTGCAAATTTTTTCCAAATTTTCCGATTATTTTTCTAATTTTAAAAATTATTTTCCGGACGTTTGCGAATTTTTTCCAAATGTTTCCAATTATTTTTCTAATTTTTTTGATTTTTTTCCGGACACTTGGGAAATTTTTCCAATATTTTTTTAATTTCTTCTAAATTTTTTCTGGATTCTTGCAAATTTTTTTGATTATTTTTTTAATTTTTAAAATTTTTTTCCGGACGTTTGCAAATTTTTTCCAAATTTTTCCAATTATTTTTCTAATTAAAAAAATTTTTTTTCCGGACGTTTGCGAATTTTTTCCAAATTTTTCCAATTATTTTTTTCATTTTTTTAATTTTTTTCTGGACGCTTAGGAATTTTTTCCAAATTTTTCCAATTATTTTTCTAATTTTTTAATATTTTTTTCCGGACGCTTGGGAATTTTTTCTAAATTTTTCCAATTATTTTTCTAATTTTTTTCCGGATGCTTGGGAATTTTCAATTTTTATAATTTTTTCTTTGGTCAAATTTCATCAAAAATGAAAAGAAGAAAATTTTCAATTTTTATAATTTTTTCTGATACATATACAGGTACTTATGTTGTGTAGAAAGNTTTGAACNTGATTACAATCAAGTTTTGGATTTTTTATGAATTTTCACAGTTACTCCAAAATTGGGCCCAAAGTCCCTTCACTATAGTACA